GCAGTAGTAGCATGCGGGTCGGTCTGGCCTCCCAGGGTCTCTGAGTGATCTGAGTGACCGAAGACACGTCGTCGTTGGCGCAGTCGGTTCCCCTCCAGCTCTGCAGCTGACCGTACGCAGGCTGACTGACGTCCAGCAAAGAATCCACCTGAAACAGAGGGGACACCTTTCATTTTATTCACGTGAAATATGTCGACGCTGCAGTGAAATGACACTTTTAAGCACACAGTGAGGATTTGTCTTTCCTATAAAAAAGACAGGCGTATTGTGGCGCCCATCGTTGTCCCTTTAAAACCAATAACCAGATTTGATTCTTTTTTATTTCATTGTACTAAAAACTTAAATGTGTTTATCATGTTTTTCTTTGTAGGTAACAGGAGGGAGGTACAACTTTAAATTCATTATGCAAACCTGTGTTGTAAAATAAGGAAATAATGACTGTAATTCCACGACCTATCACAGAACTACTCGGTCTCGGGGTTTCCAGCTGAGTTTCCATTTTCCATCTCAAAGAAAAATGGAAGTCCAGTGGAGCTTTGTTAGAATATGGCACCTGACTGCACTCCAATCATTTCTGTCCCTTAACTTGAACAACACTCATTTTCTGTTACACAAAGCTTGCTGTGTGATTCTGTTAAATACGTGTACTATTGGCTTGTTGTAGAATATTCTGAACCTCACTAAAGAGCGTACCAGTTCGGGCGGTGCATCTTCACTGGGCTCATGATTCAATTCGATTATCCTGACAATGATTTGATTTGATATCACTATTCATCACGATGTGTTGCATTCTCCATTTTCTACACTACTACACATGGCTACTTATCCATTAATGAGGAGAAGGTTCTATTATTATTGCTATTGTTGCTACACATTAAGAAACCAGCTCATATAGAAACCATGCCTCAATAAGTCGACAAAGTTGAAGACACAAAAACACAAACACAAGTTTAATTTTAAGTTCTTCACGTCTGGTTTTCAAAAAGCACAAGTTATTAACATTTAAGTTGTTTGATCCAATGATGCGCATCCTTTTATAAACACCAGAGGTTTATGAGATCACATATTTTAAACATGCAGGAGACCACAAAGACTGAAGTGAGAATGAATGTTAAATTACATCTCTCAGATCAATCTTTTGGAAGACATTTTAAAAAAGCGTAGCTCCAAGCAGCATGACTTTCCATCAAGGTTTCCTTTCATTCCTGTGCATTTCTAAGGAGTTAATGGGTACGGCTGTATTCTAGCCTTGTGCTTCCAAATTCTTGAGAGTCTTTAGAATTAATTTGATTCTTTGTAGATTAGCTGTTACTCAAAGTGCTGTAAAGGAAATCTGAAAATTGCTCCGTGAAGAGTGACAGGTTAGACAAATGCAGGAGGAACCTTCTGACCCTTTTCTTTCCAATACGCAATTTTCACATAGTCCGCGGTTTTGCTCTGTCAGACGGCGCCCACCCTGCCCCACCGAGTCTGTTTCTGGAGCCTGAGTGTAGCGGAGCGCAGCTGTACACTCGGGTTCACAAGATCCCAGGAGAACTACCAGATCACGTGGGAATAAAGAGAAAAACGTACAAACAACACTTTGCTTGAATTTCTGAGTTTTACTAATTTTATTTTTTAGATTTATTTTTGGGCTTTTTGTGCCTTTAATGCAGAGAGAGGACAGTGGATAGAGTCGGAAATCAGGGAGAGAGAGAGAGTGGGGAACGACATGCGGAAAGCGAACCCGCTCGAGACGACAGCCTCCATACATGGGGCGCGCGCCCTAACCACTGAGCCACCAGCGCGCCCCTAATAATTTTATTTTGAAACCAAATGGATGTTGAGTGTTTTGTTGTCTGACTTCCTGACCGGGTGAATCTATTCTGTTCAGCTTGACGCGTGCTAACAGCAGGCTCCGTCGAAAATAGACTCGGTCAGTAATTTGAAACGGAGCCGAGCCGAGAGCCGCTGGTGGCACGCTCCAGAGGCGCTCCACGGCGAGTACCGTGGAAACATAATCATTTACAAGAGTGGGAGGGAACGGCGCCATAGTACATAGCGCTAACTAAACGCGGCATGCACGATATAGGTGGAAGTAGCAGGTCAGTATAGACTGCTACTTTTATTGTGATTTGATTTTCTTTGTGCATTGTAGATACATATCAACTACAGTAAATGTGTTCACCTCCTTCCTGCTGCTAAATGTGTGCAGCACTGGGAGTCCAAGACAAATGTCTCCAAGAGAAGTGTACGGTATATTTAATATATAATACAGTATAGTATGGTATCTTATCTTTTAAACGTACCAATAAAGGCGTCTTACATGAAACATGTGTTTAGTCAGACGTGTACCTGGACACAGAAGATGCCGCTCAGCTCGGTCTTCTGGGCCTGACTGATCCCTTCAGGAAGAACAGGGTGGTCCAGGTCCCTCAGGTCTGTCAACAACCACTGGTCCAGTGCCTGTGATATCAGATCACACAGAGAGAGAGAGATTTCAGACTGTTTGCTATCCTGTCACTGACAGTACGTTCACTGTGAGATCTACTTTATGACGCTCTCCGTTGCTTGGCTAGATTTATATATTTCTGAGACGTGACAAATGATTAGTGAAATTCAATTCAATGACACACATGATGAAATTATACAGTTAAAGGTAACTTGTTGGAGAAACACAGGCCTTATGGAGCTCTGTGTCAGATCACATTTAGCCATAACAATCATGTGAAATCATCTCTGATATCAGTCTTTCAGGTTTATTGCGATATTGTGACTGAGTAGTTAAACATCCCTGCGGATTTTTGCTCTTAGACATGAAATAAATATCATATTCTCCATCAAACATTGCCCTCCTGGAGAGCGATGCAGTGGCCATGTGGGCCCCTTTCATTATCTCATATCACCGACATGTTCCTGGAAGCATCAGCAGACGATCTGTGCCTTGAGAAATGAAGCACTGCCTTCTCGAGAAATGAAAATTAGCTCCAAATGTTGGCTATGGAGGTACACAGCTGTTCCCTATGATATTTAGGTATGCTTTGGACTACAAATGGTGCGTAAACGCTGGAAAACATACCCCACATGACGCCACCACCAGCTGGTACGGATGACACTTGACAGGGTGTAAATTTAAAATAAAAAACAGGGTTTCTTACACTAAGATTTTGCCTTCTATCTGCATCTTTAAACAGTCTATTAATTAATTTATTCTATTAATTTAGAATAAATAAATTGTCTATTATTTTATTTATTCTTTCAGCTCAATACAACTGTCAGAATCTGGGACAAAATCCTTACAGCAGTCAGAAAACAGACGAGAAGGATTCCTGCATTCACTGATAAAGGGCCTCTTAGTTAACATGATCAGAGATAAGATCGAGAAGGGAGATCCTCCTCCATATTTACACAACCGCCTGTTATTCACCACCCACCCTAATGTCATACTTAAGTCACAAGACGGTAACTCTGAACTACATCCATATGACTTTAGCGTAAACATTCAGCCTTCACCTGCATAGTCAGAGCATTCTGCATACCTGCTGATTGATCTGCTGCTGAGACAGACGGCCTGCTCCCCCTGCCTCTTCCTGCAGCCACTCAACGCAGGCTTCCAGCCAGGCGACGGGCACCTGGACGTGCGAAGACGACCGCAGCCAGGTTTGAGTAGCACGAGCAACCGTGTGGATCTCAGGTGCCATCTTTTCTACCTCGTGTGTCTAACAAGAACGTACAAAACAGCCCGCTGTGTTATCTTCTATCAAATAATTACACATTACTGAGAGATTCGGTTAGTTTTTAGAGGTTTAAACACAAGTCATTTAAGTTATTATTACATATATTTGAATCAAGTCTATCTTATTCTTAGGCCCGCACTATATGAGGAACAGGATGAAGCATGACAAACAAACTAATTAACAAAATAATCTGAATAATATTTAGCTGAAGATGTTTACAACATGTTTCTCCTCAATCCAAAATAAATCGTGCCTTTTTTTAATCACTACTTTGCAACAATTTTTGCCGGTAGCTGACAGTTTGCTTGAGTTTCATCCTGATTGGATGAAAATGGTGTGAGAGAGCGTGTAACATGTACAAATTCTGAGTGAGCAAGCGGTGCTTGATTGCTTTTTGTTTCTTAATTATTGAGATAAATTCAGACCTTTGCAATGTGATAATTGCAAAAACGAATTTTTCAATGATTACAAATTGGGGTTTACTGTTCAGCCCTGGTCTGATATCAGTCTGCTGCAGGTGTGGAGTACATGTAGTGGTTTAACTGTTGCATTTAATTATATTCATGGACTAACACTCTGCAGCCACTGAGGGCTTAACAAAGGTTTTTATTTTTTTTTTTTTTAAGGGGTCATCTTCCTACCTGGATCTCTGAAAGTACTTGACACCTAATCTGTTGGTTGATTCATCGGCATGAGAGGTTAGATATTTATGATACAAGAGGACTGTGGGATTGACTTCTGTCATGTTTCTGTGATCATCTCAGCACAGATAAGCCCTGCAGCTCTGCACAAAGTCACGACTGGATACTGTGGAGGAGAGAGATAAAGAGAGTGAGTGTTAAATACAGAGAGAAGTCAAAGTAGGATAAAAACTGGTGAAATGTTGATGTACAGGTGAGATTCAAACGCATAGTAACAGCTCTTTTCACGTGTGTAGCTCCAGGTGTGTTAGTGAAAGCAGCAAAGGCGCCAAAGTTGACCAACCCAACCCCTTTACCTCACCTTTGTCTCCATTCAAGATGACAATAAAAGCTCTATTATACTTAAGCTTTTCTTAAGCCTAACAATGACGCAGCTTCGTAGACAGTCACGTATTTGTATAAGAATGCGGACAATACTATTAAAACAGGAACGACTTCAACAGCCGCGGATAACTTGGACCGAGCAGAACACTCCGGAAAGGAGGAGGGCTTAATGCTGTCGCTGTGGAAACGCCTCCGCATCCTGTGATTGACGTTCCCCCTTAGCCAATCGTTTCGCTCGTCTGTTTGACGTGCTCTCCGTTCAACCAATCAGCGCCCTCTGGCACGGTTCGTTCGTTCCCAGGTTCGGTGGAGAAGAAAGGGGGACGAGCGAGGCGTAGTAAGCACAGCAGGTTGGTGTTGTTGACGATATTTTTCCTGTTTTCAAACCCGAAACATTTTCCTCAACTCAGTTACTAAGCTAAGGTACTGCAGAAAGACATTCTATTGAAGCGGTGAATATTACTTTTGTCGTGTCCGATGCAAAACGCTGCTTAATTAGCTGGCCTGCCTTGCCCCCCCCCCCCTCCTTGTGCTCAACATGGCGAAATTAGCTAGCAGCTAACTCGAATAACTCCCGAATGCCTTTTGTACTGACCGATTGTTCACGTTATATCAACACATTCGCACCAGATCATGAGGCCTTAGCTTGAATATGACTGAATAAGTGTTTTTGTTTCTAAAGCGGCAGATCGTCGTTTGGATAAACTACCAACACGGACGCAACACGACGGACCTTCGGAGCTAACGCACTTAGCTTCCAGGCTAGTTAGCTTAGCTTAGCTTAACGGCCATCTCACCCTCGGTGTGTCGGTCGGCGTTGTGAATAACGTTCCCGAAGTTTAGTGTCAGTTTCTAAAACGATAAATTACTTTGCATGTGAGATTTCGTCGTTTTGTCAGGCAGGGGGGAAACAGTCGGTGTTACGGTGAAACGAGCGACCGTGTTAATCGGTGACTTTTTTTTTTTTTTTTATCCGGAAGCGTGTTGGGGTTGTAACTGTCACCTGTTTCACCGTAACACCGGTCATGTTAGCGGTCACTTCGCGTGTTTGAGACGGTGTTGGGGAATTTTTGGTATTCGTTCAAAGCAATTATAATAATAATAATAATAAATATAACATGTCTTTCATTTTTAATAAACAATATCAACCAATGCGTTTTCAAACATGTCATTTAAATATCATATAAATTGTGTCAGACTTCGCTACTACGAAGTCATTTTCATGATGTTAGTGTTTCATCTAGCCTCTCCCTCCCTTACAGGTCGCATCAGCTGTTTGGTCCTTGCTTATTAATAAGTTCCGCCTATCAACACGCCCATATCCCGCTAATAAATATCGGTGAGTGCTGGTTTTCTTTTGCATTTTCTCCCCCCCTCTGTTTGTCATCTCGGGAGCATGAAGCCTCCTCAACTGTCTTATCTCCTTTTTCCTCCTGTTACTATGTTGACAGACCACCACAGCTCACAGAGGCCAGTTCTCTGCTTCTCTCTTCCTGCTCCTGTCGCCTGTTTCCCGGACGGAGGAGCCCACCACCCCATCTCTACCGCTGTCAGAAGACCATGGAGACAGAAATCGAACAGCAAGAGGACTCTTCATTCAGCAACACAGAGACCAACGGTATACAACTTTGTGCTTGATTATTTTTGTCTAAAAGTGTATTGACTGATTTTTTTTTTTTTTTCCATGAACGGTGAAAGGACAGAGCAGTTTTGTTTTAGGACATGAATTTATTTCTGTTTTTGGATGTATTAACACCTTATTTCTCTGAAGTAGTGTTAAGTCTTTGTATGTTTTGAACATATGATGCTGTGTTTGCTATACTACTGACTTTAAAAAAAAAATCCTTATCTAATATATATTCTGTGAACGGTTGTGCAAGCAGGATTGTCATTGTGTGTTTTTATCTCCTGGTTCCAGGTAAGCGCCCTGCTGAGGATGCAGATGAGCAGAAATCATTCAAGCGCTCCAGGAACTCGGACGAAATGGTTGAGCTTCGCATCCTCCTGCAGAGCAAAGTAAATCAGCTCTCCTTTCATTTCACATTCCAGACAAACCTTTATATGATAATAGATTTTATACTCCTTTCCCTTCGGATAGCTTTTCCCTTTTTTTGAACGTTTACTTTTTGACTCTGATCGCTTGCCAGAATTTTAATTTTCAGCCTCTGTTAGGCGTGTGTTTCTCTAGACATTTACTTTAATGCTAAAACCTTGTCTTTAAAGTCCACTATTCAACTTGTAATATTTTTTGTGATGTGCCAGCTTGTCTAACAATTCTTGATGTTCTCAGAATGCAGGAGCTGTAATTGGGAAAGGTGGCAAAAACATCAAAGCCCTCCGTACAGACGTGAGTATTTTTACTTTATATGCTCTGAATCTTTCTTTCGTTTCGCCTTTTGATTTTGTATTCTTGAGTTATCCCTCCACTGGTGTTCAGCATCTCGAAACGAGCCAGCCCCCCTCCTGTAAGTCAGCTGTTCTACAGACATTAACCCTTTAAAACTCATAGTAGTATTTGACAATGTTTTCTTCTTTGTAAACAAGGGGTGTGGTTAGCTGAGTTGATAAAAGCCTTCTGACAAACCCTTTGGGGTTGATTTAATCCTTTTGTTCCTACGTAAAATCTCCTGTCATTGCCTCAGCTAAACTGGCCCTTGGAACAAAAGTCCAATTTCATGTCATCAGTTTGATTAACTGTAAGAAAACAAGACCACTGATGCTCTTGTAATGTTAAATCTAGAGGCACAGTGCGGATTTAAATAAAGTCACCTGCAGTGCAGGTCAACTTTTTTTTTAAGGCAACCTGGCCATTTCTTAATTCATGAAGTCATTGCCTCTTTCTGTAGCGCTCCACAATTTGTTCTTACCCCTCTTTCTCACTGTCTCTGGTCTATTCCCCAACATTGAAATCTTCATGTTCTTAATATGCCATTACCCATTTTCCAATGTCACATGTTCTCCTTTTCTCTCTTTGAAGAACCAATCTCTGAGAGAATCAAATTAAAGTCACGTTTGAACGCTGTAGAGCCTGTATATTAAAAATGTATTCCTCTCCCCTCTTCCCTCTCCCTTGTTTATTATTTTACTGTTGACTTTTTGCCCACTTCCTCCTCTGTTGCCCATGTTCTGGATGGCCCCTCCTGCGCCCGCCCACCTGACACCCTGGTTGGCCCTGTCCATAATCGTGCCCTGTCCCTAAATGGGCGCCTTACTTGATTGACATCTGTGCTCGAATGGCCCTGGCCCCTGCCCATGCCACGCCCAGTACAATGCCAGTGTGTCAGTCCCAGACAGCAGTGGGCCTGAGCGGTATGTCCCTAAGCTCCTCCCTCTCACTGCCTGACTACAGGTCAAACAAACAAGAAGATGAGAATAATAAATAGTCATCCTGCCTCTGTCAAGTCACTGTATTTTAACCTACCTGTTCTCACACTATATTAGCCTGAGTCAAAATGCCTAAATGCGTTCATGTCCAAATCTGCCTGTAAAAGCCATGTCAACATCCTTTAATATGCCATTTTTGAAAGTCACGTCAACATTGAAACTTAGGCTGGTGTTGTCAGGGTTTTTCCACAATCTGCCACTGTCTTTTTAAAAATCTTTTCTATGATCTGTGCAATATGTCCGTGTTATATTTTTCTTTAATTTTCATTGATGATTATCTATCCTCTTCTATCTTTCGCGTTTTCACCCCCCCCCCCCCCCCCCCCAGAGTGGATATCTTGGTGGTCTTGCCCCCCCCCCCCCCCCTCGTTAGTCTCATATACTCACCTGCTTCTCGCACCATCCCATTCTTTCCTTGTGATGCCCTCATTTTACCGATCTCAGATTGTCCATCCATCCTGAAAGGCAAAGCTAGGACTCAACTGTTGTGTGCGTGTTTGTGTTTCTTCCTTTCTGTCTTCTGCTTCATCTTGGTTATTGACTGCTGGAGCTATTGAACTGACAGATAACCCCCCCCCCCTCCCCAGTCCCATCCATCTCTGCATTCTTTTGGATTTAAGTTTATCGCTTCCCCCCCATTCCCCTAAAAAGCATCAACCCCGGTGGTGGCCAACTTGATTTCTCCCATGTTATAATCTGCTCTGATACTCCTCCTCAGCTGTCTGCCATTCTTCTTCCATGTACAAACTGTGCTAAAGTTTTCTTGATCAGTAAATTCATTGTTTATTTTTATTACGGTTTTAGGTGGGTGCAGACTACAAATTTTTATTTACAATTCTTTAAAAAATGTAACAACAGTCTGCTTTGCTAATCATCTGAAAGAGTAGAGAGGATTCATTTGTTCTCTCTGTCTTTCCTTAACTTTGAAAGTTGTGTTTGTGGTGTGCATCCACCAAACTATGCTTTAGAAGTTTAGAGTTCTTTCTGGTGCCTATTCCTGCCAGATCCTCCTCAGCTTCACCCCCCCCCCTCCCCCGTCTTGCCCCTTCAGTAGTCACCAAATGCAGTCACTTTTCTTTGGGTCCCCTTTTATTTTGTCTCTTCTCTTCCTTTCTTTGGACAAAATACTACTTTCTTTTCATTGTATTGTTTGGGAACCAGCTTATATATTTTATTTTCTGGCTGCTTTGTTTGAATAATCCATGAAATACCATGAACAAGTTTAGAAAACACTGGACCTCAGCAGTTCATTTAGATGTTAGCTTTAAGGACTGAGTTTGTTAAATTGGCTGGGACTGTTGAATCTTTGGCAGAAAGAAAAGAAAAAAAAAAAAAAAAAAAGAGGGATGTGATGAATTATCTGATCTGACATGTTGTTCCCTTCTTCCTGGTATGCCTTGCTGGCTGCCTCCGTCCCCACCCCCTGTGCGTGGCTGTGGCTTGTCTGTGGTGTGTGAAATATGAAGCATCCTGAGCATCAGTGCCGACATCGAGACAGTCGGAGAAATCCTGCTCAAAATTATCCCGACACTGGAAGAGGTAAAGGACCTGTTTTCTTTTTTCCTTTTTTTTTTTTTTCCAGTGAACAAGTTAACACCAAACTGGTGTGCTGCATGATGCAAAATCTTTAAAACTCAAAAAGATTCTAATTAAAAAAAAATGTTTTGATATAACTGCAAGAAAAGCGAAAGTTCTAGGCGCCTCACGCTGTGTACTTTATTGTTTTGAGTTTCCTAAAAATGCAGCCAAACTCCTGCACACTGTCTTTATTCCACTAATACATTGACAATGTTTCGCTACCAAAACGTTGACAATGACATCGTGCAATTTTGACGGTGCCCTCTCTCTCTCTCTCGGGTTCAAAATATGACTGAAGATGTGACGCTGTTTTAAAGTTACAGTGCTTTTTGATTACAAACAATCATCATAATGTCAGAACATTGTATTTTTTTTTTAACATGTAGTTTCAAAGTATCGAACGAGAAAATGTTTCGTTGTGTTGCAGCTCAATCAGATATCGAGAGTGCTTGCTGCAGCTGTATTCTCTTTTCTTTCTGCCCTCTGTTACATTGATGATCTACAAATGAGTGGAGCTGAATGGTTGAAACAGCACTCGCTCAAATCCTCTCCGTTTATGTCAGCACTCCGTTTCGAGGTCGTTTATAACACTGTTGCTATGAGCTCGTATCCGCAGCTTGTAGGTGGAAAAAAAAATTGTAACCTTCAACTTTTTAAACTCACTCACAGAATTCACAAAATGTATGGCACCCATCATCTTCTGATTATATCTAGAGGCTGTCACTGTACCAGACTTCCAAACTTGTATAGGTTTGTAGTAAAAATCAAACAACATCAATACGTGTTTCGATACCATGGCAACAAAAAATGAACTCGTCGGCACCTATTAGACGTGATTTCTTGTATTTGATAACCCAAACTTGCCGTTCACTGATTGAACATACGTGTTAACGTATTTGTAGAATTTAGACGGTGTCATCTCTCGATCTCTCGATCTCTCGCTGCGGCTTCGGGTTAAAAATGTGATTGAAGATACAATCGGTCATAAAATAAGTGTATCCATTTAAGACGAGAGGTTAGAGTACTAAAATACTTTGTGTCCCTTTAAGTACCAGCAGTACAATGGCATGGACTTCGACTGTGAGTTGCGTCTCCTCATCCATCAGAGCCTCGCCGGCTCCATCATCGGCGTCAAGGGTGCCAAGATCAAGGAGCTCCGGGAGGTATGTTGATACAAGGGATCGGGATGTGAAATGAAATCATCTGCTGAGCAGTTTACACACAGAGATGTGTGAGTGATGTCAAACACGTTCCAGCCAGACTGCACTGGATCGATCCCAGCTGGTGGATGATCTGTTTTATATTTTGTGTTTGGGTTAAATAAATAAATCAGCCGTTTCATTCCTGTTAGTCTGAGATGTTTTTCTGTCCTGGAGTTCCTGATGTACCTGATGCTCATAAAGTCACTGTGATATGATGTGTAAAATGCTTAGCGGTCTTCATCTGCCATGTTGTGTAGTTACATTCTCATTTGTGCCTTCAGAACACAAAGACCAGCATCAAGCTGTTCCAGGAGTGTTGTCCTCAGTCGACAGACCGGGTGGTCCTGGTTGGCGGGAAGACGGAGCGCGTGGTGGAGTGTATCAAGACTATGCTGGAGCTCATCGCCGAGGTAAATATCTTAAAACGTGGTTCACAAGTTTGATCAATAGAAGAACATCATTTTGGAGCCATTAATTAAATGTCTCTCTAATTAAAGATACTTTGATGGTTTAAAATTCTAAATGCAGGACAGGCTCCAGATGTATGTGAGAATTTGTTGACCGTTGAATCATTTTTTCATAGTCATTATCAGCTTGCGTCTATTTTGGTGCTCCCGGTAGACAAAACGGTACCTCTTATCTCTTTGCTATTTTTGTCCTGTACCTGTGTAAGTATTGTTCTTTTAACAAAAACAATCTCATCTTGATGTCTATTAACAGTAACATGCAGCACTTTGCCACTGAACATCTTTTCCAAAAAAAGGCTGTTTCTGCAGGATGCTGCTAATCCCTTCATCTGAAATGGGCTTCAAGAATTTAAAATAACAGTAATGAGATAATCAATCCTGTCTCTGATGGTCATACAGAGGCATTAGTACTAATAACAGTCTATGTTATAGACTAAAAACCTCCTCACAGGAGCTTTAAGTGTTATATTTCCAGTAACAAACTTTTGTTTTTGAAGTCTTTTTGCTGATCAGAATGTATCTCCCTCTCCTCCTCCTCTGCAGGCTCCCATTAAGGGCCGCGCACAGCCCTACGACCCCAACTTCTACGACGAAACCTACGAGTACGGTGGCTTCACTGTGATGTTTGAGGAGAGGGGAGGTGGTCGCAGGCTTATGGGAGGGTTCCAGATGCGCGGGGGAAGGTCCAGCGGTGGGGACCGCGGCTTTGACCGAATGCCCTCAAGCAGAGGGGGGCGAGGACCCCCGCCTCCCTCCCGTCGGGACTACGAAGAGATGAGCCCTCGCCGTGGTCCCCCTCCGCCCCACCCGAGCAGGGTCGGTGGCCGGGGGAGCGCCCGCGGTCGCAACATGCCAATGGGTCACCCACACAGAGGAGGGTAAGATATTGAACAGAAGTGATGTGGAGTCTGCTGCTTCTGTCTGTCTGTCTGTCGCTCTCCTGCTCGCCTTTTTTCTGCTCATACTCAGGCGTGAGATGTTACCTGGTGTGTGGACTCTTTTTGTCCCGGCCTAAGATAGATCAATCTTTTCATTTTGCTGAACACTTAAATGCCTGAAAACTGCATGATCAAACTCATTAGTCAGCTTTTGAGGGTCCTCCCCCTCCTGTTTTAATGTGTATCATACTTCAGACATACCAGGCTGTTGTTACTCTTCTATCACGCTTTGCTGTTTTTCTTCTCCTGCATCAACAAAGACGACGCTCAGATTCACAAAGCCTGCTTTATGTCGTCTAGTCGACAGAATAAACTTCAGTCCAGTTTACTGCATGTGATCCAGCGTGCGCCCCTCAGGAAACATTTGTACTCACGATAATCATTCCATTAATAGTATGTGCTCATCAATGTATGTCTGGGTGTGTTTGTGTGTGTCTTTTTCCCATCTCCATCTCGCCCACAGAGAAGACCGTTACTATGACTCGTACCGCGGCTCTGATGAAAGGTCAAAGTAAGTCACTGTCCCCGAACCTTTGCCTCAACCTCTTCCCATCTCTGAACAGGGATACTTTAATACTCTGTTATTTTATTGGACCTGCATATACTGTAGGCAGAACTAGTTAAAGGTAATGCGCTGAAGCGTTGGTTCCTCATTGATACCATTAGACGGTACGTCTGTGGAATCTTAAACAGTAGCTGACAGGAGCATTATGTTCCTTCACTGATTGGCTCTGATGGTTTAAAATAACATGGAAGTGTTGAGGTATTCCCTAAATATTCCCCTGACTTATTGTTTTTTTATGTGACTGGTTCTCCACTTCTTCTCTAATCTTATTGATAAAATATCTTCTCTTTGTAACCCCCCCCCCCCCGTCATACCCTGGACTTTCATTACTAACCGCTGCCTTGATCTCCATTTTCCTGTAGTCTTCTTGCCTGTAGCGCCCCAGCCTGCATACGTCCCCTCCTCTGATCCCTACTCACCCTTTTGCACTTGACTTTTTGAAGTGCTCTAGGCTGCTTAACAGTGATGTTGTATGACCTCCTCTTTCCAGTGTTAATAACTCATCCGACCTGCTACTAACTCCCAGATTAATCCAGGTTGAGAGTTTATTCTCGTGGTGTGTGATGATCATGTGCTGATACGGAGCTCATAGAAACAATAGACTTCCTCCAGTGAGCATGAAATAAGAGAAGTTATTTTCTCAAATGTACGGCTCAACATTTCTGAAATCTTTTTGTGTGCTGATGAGAGAAAAAAAAAAAGACCTAAACGGGAACCTCTGAGCTTCCAAAAGCCTTCATAATAAAGCAACAACTATCAGACATTTACATTATATTAACATGTCCATGCATGGGATGAGAATCACCACAGGATTAACAATACGATATTATCAAGATACTTGAGTCATGATTACGTATTATTGCAATAAAAAAAATTGCGATTTAATATTTTGCGATTTAACTTTTTTAACTGAATATTATGTCCATACATTTTTGTCTGTTTTGTCAAATAAGAAGAAAAAAATATTTATTTCTACACAATGAGAGTCAAGCTCTCACTGACCATCACTGATAAAAGTCAAACCCATTAAAGGCTGCATGCAGCTCACAATCTGAACTGTTAATATTTCAGTCTAATCAAACTTAACTCAACACAAACATATACGGACGACTGCCGACTTTTTTAATTATGCAACTTGTTTCCGAAAATAAAAATTAAAAAGCACATTTGTTATTAATATAATAAATGTATTGATACTTGACGGCCATGAATCGATATATCGTCATGGAAAATATCATGATACTGTACTGCATCGACCCCCCACCTCTACCCATTAATCAGTTGACTATTCAACATTTTATTCAGAAGTAATTTACTCTGTGATGAAAGTCACTTATCTTTAATGTTGCTTGATGTCTCCCAATGTCCAAAATAAAATTCTTGAAATAGCTTGTATTTTTCTACAACATAGATATTTAGTAATCTATAAAAAAGATAAAAACACGTCATTATTCACATTTTAGATGTTGGATTCAGAAAAGTATGACTTCTAATTCAAGATAATGTTATCACTGAGATAAATGAGCTTTTATATTGGGTTGGTGATTTAATTTACTAGTTGACATCTACGCGTTCAGTCTTTGTAGCTCTTAAGAATAATTCTTTAATGACCCGGCCTTCAGTTGAGTGTCGCCTCATATTACTATGAAAACACACACTGATGAATACTGTTTGTAGAAAAGTGATGTCAGGCAGTGATGCCACTACATAGAACAACATGGTGACAGAGAAAAAATTAAGCAAAAAAGCAAGTGATCCATGAAGTCATGTGGAGGCTTTTAGTTTGACACGCCCGTACCAAACATACACGAGTGTTTTTCAGGAACAGCAAAGAAATCCCAACACATTTCTTCAGCTTAATTTGAGCTCCGGTTTGGGAGAAAAAGCAGCAGCGCTTGGCTCTGATAATCATCACCACCACCTGTCACTTCTCTCACTATAACACTGTCAGAGCTGTTCCTGTTACTGTGTGGGAAGATGGCTGAGAGGAAACGTGTTTATACTGTAATCTTCCTCAGCGTGTGTGCAGTTTGACCCAGACCAGAAATTTCCTTTGGAATGTTTTCAAGTATTTTTTCTTTTTTTTGTAAAGCATTTTCTATTTCTTTCCTCCCCCACCCACATCTCTCTCTCTTTTTCTCTCTCTGTCTGTTCCTGCCCCCCCCCCCCCCCCCCCCATCTCCCTCCCTTTATGGCACTTTCGTCACCAGTGACAGAAGAGGCAGACCGGATCGCTATAGCGATAACATGGTTAGTGACCCTTCACTAAATGCATGCAGCTCTGGTTCAAGCGGCTCATTGGGCTCCAGCATCCTCAGGCTGGCGTACAACCTGATTTAGCAGCAGAGAGTGTGTTTTGATTGTCTATCATGTTGTTGTGATAACGGTAGATTATGACAATAAAACCAGGGGCTGGTTGGTCATGTGCGCATGCATTTTCTTACGCTCGTGTTAGCTGCGATCGTGCATACAGGCAATTTTTTGGCACGGTGCAAACCTCCCTACCAAATGACCATAATCACCACAGCCGGAGACACCTCATAATAATCAGCTATAATTGCCCTCTTACTGTGTACTTTTCACGGCCAGCCTGCTTCTCTTGCACAGAGAGGAAGGATGTTGGGGGTGGGGTGGGCTGGGGGTGGCCATGGGTGGTTGCTAGGCAACAATAACGCTTTGTTGACAGACTGGAAGGTCTCTCTCTCGTCTCTCCCTCTTTCTCGCTCTCCCTCTCTGAGAGCTGGCAGGATACTGCCTGCCGTTGCTCAGCAACAGCTTTTTGAATTGCCTGTTGCCCTGGCGACAGCAGCAGCTGAATAGCAGGTGAAAATGGGGGCTGATGGAGATGCGAGGGGAGACTGGAAGGGGGGATGGAGAGAGGGAGGGGAGGGAGGAGGAGTCTAGCTTATGGATGAAAACTGGGTGTCTTTTAGTTGAGTCTACTCCATGGACGAGGCTGCTGCTGCATCATCTTTACATTAGATCTTACAAACGCCACGTTCATTTAGCCACGATCAGCTCAAAGATGAAAGGACTCGGCTGTTCAGAGTGTAACCCGTCTCTCTTTCTGTTTGTTTCTCACAGAGCGGAGGAGGATATGGTAAGAACTGATCTCATTGTATGTTTCCGTGTGTCTTCATGTGCATGGGTGCTCAGATATTAGAGTTAATTTATCATATTTGTGTCAAACATTTTGTCTGAATGAAATGTTTTAAAACAAAATGCGATCTGCACAGTGGCAGCATGTTCAGGAGGATGTTGTAGCTCTCACCGATAATGTCTTGGCTAATGCTTTGCAACAGTATTTTATTAAAAGTCCAGTGGAATGAAACTCGATAACTGAATCAGCTCAGTTTATAACACGTTAGAGATGACATGAAGGAAGAATTTAAAAGCACTCAACTGCTTTAGTCAGATGAAAATGTTAGAACAGCCAGACTTTTCAGTTCAGTATTTTGATTTTCTTCGAGTATTAAATGTTAAGAAAGAGATATGTTGCCTCTTAATATTCACCACTCAGTCAGGGTTAGTTTACCTTTCTGTTTCTCTTCCTCTCAGACAACAGCTCCTCCTGGGATAGCTACCCGTCAAGTGAGTCTCTGCACGTTTTCCTCCATCAAAAGGAACAGAGAGAAAACACTAAACCATGTGTGATTCATACAGCCAAAGATAGTTTTACTTTTTTTACATGCGTGTGTTCTCTGGTCCTCACCTCCTCCTCCGCCTCCTCCTGCCAACAGGTGGACGTGGCTCCTACAGTGACATGGGTGGGCCTGTCATCACCACACAAGTGACCATCCCCAAAGATGTGAGTAAAGGCAGACACATGACATGATGTGCCCCCCTTTGTATGTTGTAAGAAAACAATTCAGGCAGAGTAAAACCCAAAGGTGCCACATGAAGCTTCGTTATCAACATTGTGATCAACCTTACGTAGATTAATTTTTAAATTAGTCTTTGAGCCGATGGACCAATTAGTTATGTTGCCCCCCACAGTAGATAAGGACGTGATCCTTCTAGGAGTTCTTCTTTATATTTTCTTGAATAGTTGTCATCCTAGTGTCTTTCTCCATGTGCTTGATTTGTCTTTCCTCTCCTCGGTATCCACCGACAGCTGGCTGGCTCCATCATTGGAAAAGGAGGCCAGCGAATCAAACAGATCCGCCACGAGTCTGGAGCCTCCATCAAGATCGACGAGCCTCTGGAAGGTTCTGAGGACCGAATCATCACCATCACTGGCACCCAGGATCAGATCCAGAATGCCCAGTACCTTCTACAGAACAGGCAAGTTCTGACACAGCATCAGTTCTTATGAGCCTGCGTCTTTCTAGAGGTAGAGAAGCTTGACTTAGCTCCATCAAACTGTGCTATCCTGTCTCCAGCTTGTTTGTCAAAAATGATCCACAATATGGAAAAGTACAAGACGTTTACAAAAATAAACTACATCTGTTCCATTAGAAAGGATTGTAGAGGAATAAATCCTTCAGAAAATTGGAGGCTCAATGTTTAAATTTCCCAAAAATCATTGGCAACATTTCCGTGTTACAACGTTGCTAATGTTGTTGTGCAATTTAAACAGCGTGCACAAGTTTTCCTGCAGTTTTTGCAAGTAGAAAAACAAGAAATTACACAACATTGATGCCTAGGACTTGTAGTTTTGTTACTATGGTAACATAACGGGTAACAATGTCGTTTGATTTTGAATAGAATCGTATCAAAGTTTTAAAAACCTGGTATCCTGTTAAAAAACAAAAAAAAAACAATCAAATCGTGCACACGTCTGAGCTCACATCTGTTGTGTTGCGTTGTTAAATGTTTGTCAATGCAACACTTCTTAGAAAGTGACGTTTTGTGGACACGTGCGAGCTTAAAAGAAAAGCAAAACGATGCTTCATTGACAGCTCGTTCACCAAATGAAAATGACCCTCGTAGATTCAGAATTGTTTTTCCCAGATTGTCAGTACATGTATGTTTCTCTTTGCTTCTGAATTTGCATCCTGATACTAGTTATCCCTCTCGGGTTATGCTTTCCTGTTGCCTGCTGTCTCTTCTTCACTAACCCCCTTCCTTTCTTCCCAATGCAACCTGCATCTAGTTCAAACCTTCCTCTTGCATGAAATGGCTGTGAAGGAGTAGACAAAGTTGGACATTTGTGTGGTTGACATGTTTCCTTGTTGATCACATTTGTCCATTAATATGAATAATGGAGTAATTAAAAAAAAAAAAAAAAAACTTGTCTATCTGCCGTCTAAGCCGTTTCACTGTGAAGCAGGGAGTGGATTGATTCTTCCCCTGGCTGCTGCTGTGTGGAAGACTAGTGATTTTGTTGTTTTTAGTTAGATCAACCGACAACAAATCACAGTCTGCCAAATAGCACAGGCTCCTCCTCTTCTGTCTCCCTTGGCAACCAGTAGGCACGTATAAAACACACTACTTCCTTGTTGATGCTAGCCCGAATGCTAATCCAGCTGTAGACCTGCCGCCGCCGCCTCATGTGTAGTGTAGTGTTGCCATGGTAACTAACCCTGCCTCTCTCTCTTCCTTTCCTCCCCTCTCCTCGCCCTTCAGTGTGCTGCACCTGCTTGGACACAAGGCCTAAACCACACCCCTCCCTTTTTCTTCCTCCTCCTCCTCTTCCTCACTCTTCTTCTGCCACTTGCCTCCCCTCCCCCTTCCTCTCTGCCTGTCTTTTCTCACTTGTTGCCTGTGTCTCCTCCCGCTCTGCCTCCCCCAAGACTTCACCCTCCCTCAGCTGTACATTAACACCGTCATTGACTTGTGAATTGCATTTTCTTCTTGTGTTTTTTATTTATTTTTCTCCTTTTTTTTTTTCCAGTGTGAAGCAGTACTCTGGTCATTTGCTGTAGACCCAGGAGACTAAGATTGAAGCAGGCTCAGATTTCCCCCCACCCACCCCCGAAACCTCCGAACCCCTGACCCTCTCTGCCCTTATCCAACATATCCCCTTCAGACTATTACTCTGGATTGTGGGTTTCTTTTTTTGAATTTTATTTTTGTATTTTTTAATGAAATAAATGTCCAACATTCCTGTGCATAAAACAAAAAGTAGATGTTCTGCATTTTTAAGAGTGTAGTCCATTTAGTTTATCAGATACACTTTTTTTTTTCTTCTAACATTTAAATCTATCAGATTATTCTTCAGTCTCCTGACAGACAAAAAGAAACATAACCTTTATTTTTGATGGTTTTGTTTTTTTTAATAACGTGTGTTTGCGTCTCCGGCTTAGATCTGTCCCGTGTGTAGCATGTGTGCATGTTGGCGTGTGTGTATTGGTTTGCTTTCTGTTGTCTCTTTGGGTCCGTTCACACAGTTTCCACACATTAACATTAGCACCATGCAGAATGTAAGATGTTTTCTTTTCACATTGAACCAGTATGATTTAGTTTTGTTTGTTTGCGTTTCTTTTTTTTTTTTTTTTGTGGAAAGATTTGTGGGAAATTTTACCCGCCAGAAAGAATTTTGGGATGTTTAAGTTTTGACTGTTGTACAAACCGGGGTACGGGACAGTCTCATTTGTAAGAATATTCAGAATATACTGTGGTAGTTGTGTGACAAAAACCAATCTGAAACATTTGAATAACTCATCACAAACAGAAATGTGTAGCTAGAGGTTTTCTTGGCGTTTTATTGGAGATTTGACCAATATTGAACGTATCTATCTGTCCCTGTAATTTCCTGTAATCTACACTTGTTTTCTCTCCATGCTGTAGACTTCACATTGTCAAATTGTAAAATGAATAAAGATGGTGCCACTTTTTACTGAACCAACTCTCATTTTTTTATTTTCCTGTGGTTGAAAGTTTACTCATTCAAATTCAGCTCTCCTAGTTTTGTTTAGTGTCCACTGACGAGCCTAAAACTTGTGTGAAGACTTTGCTGTGTCAAGCTGCTTTTTCAGGTTTTATTAGTAAATCTACCACTAGGGAGAATTTTCATCACATGTTAATCTCATGATTATTTGTTCAGACTAAAATATGTGCAGTGATCATTTAGAAACAACTAAAAGGTCACTGGCTGAGCTGCTGTTGATTATTTTGTGGATCCTGCTGGAAGCACAACCTGACTTGACGTAGGGTTTATGAACGCCAGGCAGGAGCGATTATCTGAGCATTACGCACACGCATCGCCAAAATGCAGAAAGTACGGCACCAGCATGGTTGAAATAGCATAATTTAGGAAGTCCAATTTGTTTACTACTCCTGTATTTATAGAAATCTGTTCTGGTCTATTATTAAGTACAAAAATGATCCAATATGCATTTAATTAAGTTGAATGCTTACCAAGGAAGTGTCAATGAATCAACATCAGCAAGATGTAAAACACCTTGTCGATCATCAGAAACAGTTTTGTAACTAGCTTTACTTTTTGGAAGGGGGGGGGATTAATGATTTAATGATTCTCCTGGCTGGTGTTGCCATTCAAAAAGAAAACTAAAGAAAATGTCTTTACCACAAAGTGCTAAAAACACATCAGTGTGACATCATGATATTTCATGAACCAGATACGTCTGTGGTTATTCTGGCACATTTTTAATCATTTCTACAGTTTTCTGTCTGAAGGAGAACTTTGGATGTGCCCCTTTTTTCTGTTTACAGAATTGCATAAAATTCTGGTGAAACCTTTTGAGTGGACGTACACAGTGAAGCAAACTGTCCATCAATCAGACTTTGCTCCTATAGAACCGTTCAGACAAATCCCTTGGAGTTCAGGACGGTGCTTTACAAGGGAAGGGGGAAACAATTGACAAAAGGTAGAATGTAAAGAAGGGTTTAAAGGCTAATGCTCGATGATATCAGTTCAATAAAATAAAAGACAGGTGATAAAAAATTTGACACAAGAAACAATAAAATCACAAAAGTATGAAATGATAGTGTAAATGAAATACAATGAAAATCAATAATAATATAATTGAAGTTATTCCGTTATTGAATTCTGTTTTATTTCTTAATCAAAGAAGACTGATTTCTTTTAAGATAAGATAATCCTTTATTTAGACTTAGACTTAGACTTTCTTTATTGTCATTCAAACTTGTACTTTACAGTGAGATAAGAACGAAATTTCGTTGCATTTGGCCCGTTGTAGTGCAGGATAAAAACAGCAGCATGTATTTACATATAAAAAATAAAAATAAGGTGCAGATATAAATAGATATAAAAAGAAAAACTATGAGTAAAAATTAAACTATTTATCCCACAATGGGGAAATTTACATTGTTACAGCAGCAAAGAGCAAAGACTGCAAACAAAAAGTGAACACAGTACAATTTAAATAAAAAAAGAAAAATTAAGAATGTACAAAAAAATAGATAGATACCACAATATAGAATTTAAAAAATAGATTTAAAAAAAATAGATCAGCTGAGCTGCAGTTTTGACCAAAATGTAGTCAAATAATAATTTAGTCAAATTAATAATAATTTTACAAATGTTTTTTTCTTTTAAAACTGGCACTTTAAAGTTTTATACGTTTGATTTAATTAAAGCAGTTCATTGCGTTTAGTTTTCCGTTTCCTCTCCCGGCTCGATGTGATTGGTCTATCTGGCTGTGAAGACAACAAAACGGAAGCTCTGATTGGTCAATAGGCAGCCGGAAGTGAAGAAGCGGAATCCGAAGCAACACTGTACCGTTCACTTGCTTTCCATCTGTAGGTAAGTAGCCGACTGTGAAACTGGCAGGAATGAAATGTATTATCGATTATCAGAAAGTTTAAGTCTTAAATCAAGAACAGTTATTAAAAAGCCGGTTAGTGTCTCTGCTCGTGCTGACGTTAGATTAATAATACTCACAGGTAGTCACTGTCAGGACCGCGTGCACTGTGTGCTCCAGGTGAATAATAAACAAAAATACATGATTATAGTTTGACTGCTTATTGGTCCATTATCAATACAGCTCTGTTTAAATAAAAACTACTGTGCTTATTATTTTTAATTATTTATTCTGACTGGAAAGTAAATCATAAAACTATTATTTTAATACAAATCATAGAATCACCTAAATCAGCTTTATTGACCAGGTATACTCACACACACAAGGAATGTGTGAACTGTGCTCTCTATGGTCAAAAGTATAACATTAAATATCAACAATAAACCCAGAATAAGCAAAGACTAATGTGTATGAGACTAAATAACACAGTGTAGAGGTGAGGAGTGGAAAAACATGCAGGAATAAACGTGATGATGGAATAATGTAACAGATAGGTTGATTAACATGAGGTAGAGAGTTGTTTTGCTGTAGTTATGTTAAACAGTGTGCATAAATTCATATCAGATTAAGAGGATGATAATACAAGATTAACATGATTAAATGATTGAGCTCTTAAATAATCTTATGTACAGACGCAAATCAACAATATTTTTACTGTTTCGACACCTCAGCAACAAAAATGGAAGTCCTAAGCTCCCATCATGTGATAATGTCTTGTTTTTAAATACAAAAAATGAGCAGGCAAATTTCTAAACGATGTTTAAACTGCACAATGTTGCCAAAGTGTTTGTGCAATTTATAGACAGTGCACTCCTTTTGATTAACAATATGACGGAAGATGTGAAGTTAGTTTTTCTTAAAGCTCAGGTTTGTTTCTGTACGATTGATCATTAGACTAATGAGGATTGTATTGTCTTAAACAAGTACATTTAGTATCAAAGTAGTCAAAATGTTGACAACCTTTAGAAAGTATTCAATAAGAGTTTTCATCAGTAGGCCACTCGATGGGCGTTTGGGTAACTAATGTCAGTCTGACGGCGAGCACATCATTAACACAAAACCCACTGGACACTTCAGATGGATAGAAAGGACGCTGCAGCTTTTAGAGGCAGGCAGAGAAGTATAATTTTGTTCTTTTTTCTTTTTGATAATGGTCAGAGATGCTCCTCTTTGTGCGCTTTACTTTTGATTCTAATGTTTCTGTGTGAAGATTCGAGCTCTGTAGGTGTGAGCTACTTTGTAAAGCCCTGCCAGTTTTCTTTCTGAGAAGAAATGTTCCCACCTTGTTACTCCTCTCCCGTGTTGATTATGTCTTTTTTATTGTGAATTATCTAATAAAGCACGGAGATCATCTTTAAAATGGCACTTCCCTGGAGGTGTTTGAAGGATACTGGTGTTTTAAAGGGCACTGGCTTTACATCTCCTCCCTGCACCCACCATGACACGCTTCAAGAAGCTGCTCTGACTTCACGAGGCTTATTGCAAACTTGCCAACACTAAGTACGGGAAGTATTTATATTTATAAAAACGCACATCTTCTTCATGCAGCTGTGCGACATGGAGCCACCCATGCTTCCCCGTGAGTCCGGGCGGTTCGTCGCAGAGCGGAGTCAGGATGTGTTTGTGGAAGAGGAAGGAGTGCAGAAGGTGGCCGAGATGCTCTACAACCTCCGACATGGTGACGAGCTGACCGCCATTGGATGGGAGATGGCGAATCCGTTGGCTCCAGCCCCCACCTCTGACCAGGGGAGTCTTTAAACCGCAATCCATATTTTAGAGATAACAATAGTATTACGTTAATACTGTTACAGTAGTGTAAGATATGTGGACCAACTCATTGAGAGGGTTCATATAAGTTCCAGTATGATGACTTAACTAATAACCAGAGGGCTTCAAATTATCTCTGCACTGTAAGAAAATGTAAGTTGCTAAATTGTTGATAAGACACACTTTCTGATAATTGGATGAACTGTCATTTATTTCTTTAAAAGGGGACATATGAAAAATCCACTTCTACAGTGTTTTTGAACATATGTTTGGGTAACCTGAGTGTCTAGAGACCCACAAAATGTGAAATAAATCCATCCAGTCCTTTGTTTGTGGTCTGCATAAGTCTTACAACAGAGAAAAATGCTCCGTTTTAAATGTGTTCTCCTTGTGATGTCACAGTGGGATTCTAGTAAGAAAAAATACCCTCCCCTCCACTGGTAACTCCACCCCCAGCCTAGAGCAAAAAATTTTCGCAGGTCTGCCTCTTTCATTCTTGCTAGCGAAGGAGTGATGTCTACCAGGAAAACTCAAGGGGGGCTCATTTCATTTAAAGAGACACACACACCAAAACGGAGTGTTCTGAGAGAGCTGGTTTATACAGCGTCACAGCACAGCACAGATGTGTCATTTAGACCACAGGGGACTGTTTGAAGAGGTGGATACTATGTCCTCTTTAAAGAACACTTACCGTTACTCAAGTACAGTACCTACTACACCTTTGAGGTACATGTGCTGTTTTTATGCATTTGCATTATTTGCTAGTTTGCATTTTTTCTCAACATTGTTTCAGAAAGAACTGAAAAAACGTTTTGCTCCACAACATGTATCGTGATGACAATTATTTATATATAGAACAAAATAAAAATGGACCCAAGATGGACCCCTGTGGGACACCTTTCGCTTTATTCAAATATATTAAACGAGTCACATATGTCGGCAAAGTTCAACCCAGTATTCTTTAGAGCCAAAAGCATTTGTGATGTCTTTTCAGGCTTTCATAGTAACAGCGACTGTACTCAAGTGAAAGTCTGATCAAGTTAAAGAGAGCTACTGCTGGAATATTTATCTGTGTTCACTTGGCACTCTGAGTGTTAAATATTCACTGAAATGTGGACTTCAAAGAAAAAACAAGTGTTGTAAAAAAAGAAAAGGGGGGGGGGCTCTGACTTTTTCTTGAACTGTGATCGTTTTGTGTTTTTCATGTTTGCAGGCATTGAACTGGGTGTTTGTTGTGGACACCATGAACTTCTCTTTTTGGCCAGAAAAGGAAAGTGAACAGTGTGAGGT